GTCAACTTTCCTATAATATGTGAAAGTTGGCTCAATGAAGCTACTTGCCTGCCCACCAGAAGGCAACATTCCTTCTGAATTGTAACACCTTTATCCTCGGGGAAGAGAAATGTCATGTTCGTGGAGTCAACGATGATTCCCACAAAATCTATGACCTGCAAAGGAAAAAAAAAAAGAATTTATCACAAATCCTAGACTCTCTAGGATGTGCTTTAGAATCTGGCTCCCTTTAAAGTCAGGGCTGTCATTAAGGGCCGGGGGCCGAGGATTTCCCCCGGCTACTATAAACATGATCTCCGGCTACTTTAATGGGAAAAAAGAGGAAAAATATAACCAAAAGAAATCGTAACTGTTTGATTCCCGTCCTATTCCTGTGACAGCCCTGTAAGTGCTGTTCATAATGAGCATGTCGTCTAGGTTAACTATTATCCGGACAACCATTTTCCTTAGCATGCCAGTGTAACTGGTTTGAGCACTTTGGTAAAAGTGCAAGGGGCTGATGTCAACCCAAATGGGAGACAATTGAATTGACACGTTCTTTCTCTGAATTGGAAGGGGGTGAATTTCTGAGACTTGGCATGTAATGGGATTGTGAAATATGCATCCTTCAGTTCGCGCTTACACTTGAAATTCCATGGTCTCAGTAGGTCGGAAACTGTTTTCAAGTCTTCCATCTTGAAGTGGGGGTATATCACTAACTTGTTGAAGTTTGCTAGATTGATTACTGGGTGTTGTCACGCTCCGCCCTTCTTCACCACAAGAAAGAGTTTGCTGTAGAATCCCACACTTGAGACAAAGGGTACCTCTAAAATGGCTCCATTCTATAGAAGATTCCTTATTTTTTCTACCACTAGAAAGGTCTCTGTTTGGGACAGAACCCGGGGAGAAGGGATTTTGGACTGCTAAGGGCGTTCCAGCAGTTCGACGTCGTAACCCTGAATTGTCTGTAAGCCCCATGGCTCTTATGTAATTAGTTGCCAATTCTGAATGAAGAACTGCTACTCTGTGAATGAATGCTTTCCGGTTGAGGAGGAAAACAGACAATCATATCTAGCAAGCTTACCTTGGAACTTGATTGGGCTTGTTGAAGACTTGTTGAAGGCTTGTTGGTCTAAATAATCCCTTGCCGGGTCCCGTTTTCTCCGGAAGGGAGCCTTGCGAAAAGACTGGTGATCATAGAATGATGGGTTCTTGGTCTTGGTAGAGTCTGAGGACCCTTTAAATGAATATGCTCTGGCTTGTTTGTAAGGAGCTTTGCCTTTAACCTAGCTTGAATTCTTCTTAGATTAGACTGCCTTGGAAACTTTTTCGGCATGATCGCCCATAAAGTTAAGCTCCGAAGTCTTACTCTCCCCAAAAAGGTAAGTCTGTAGGGGACAAAATGTTTCGCTGGTTGAGTTACAACTGTAATATTACAATATTTGACGATTTCTTGTCTATACGCTGCTTGGTGATTGAGGCTACTCCATGCCGAAACAAGCGGAGGCTATTTAGAATAAGATCTATAGCTGAACGCTCAGTTAACGAGCCAGGGTCAGACTGCAAGTGCTGGAGCAAAATGCACAACGGTCCAGCTGCCTCCATATGATTGCACCTAGTTAAATGCAAGTTCTGCTCCCAGCGCAGTTCTCCAAGGCTTCCCTGTTCTCACTGACTTAAATTAACGTTAATTATTAACTAAGAAAGACTTTTACAAGGCAAATTTGAGATAATTAGAAACTGCATTTACATGAATGTCATAGAATGCCTATAATAATAGTTACTTCTTTTATGTTTTTTTTTTTGTTTGAGTATTCTTTTTTGTCGTGTCGCGTAACTTTTATTGTTGCAGTTGGTACTTTGCTGTTCGTTTTAAAACTAATTACTAGGTAAAATATTCTCTGTAAGCCGTTCTATTGGTTGTAAGCCGTTAATTACTAGATCGAACCTTTTACAATAGTCCCTTTTTGCCACACCTTGCATTTGCATGGGATTTGGAAGTTTTATATTAAGAAGGAGCCGCGTCGCTAAAAAGTCAGTGCGGAGGGCGCGTTCAGAGAGAGTGTAAGAAAGAGACCTTGAAGCACAAGCCGTTCTACTGAAATCCCTTCAGCAGAGGCGTCCCTTTTAACTTCACGGCAAAAGAAGTCATTTTGTCGGGGGAAAGCAGTTTGATGTCCTGTAAAAGTTGAGAGAGCAGGAGAAGTATTGTGGCGACCGTAACATCTCCAAGACCGTAACATCTCTCTAAGAAGTCAGTGCGTTACATAATATCTCTCCAAGAACGGTTGCGGAAACCAAACTGAACTAGAGAGCAGCGGCAGACCGAGAGACCGAAGCCGGAGCAAGTCTGTGAAAGATTAAAGAGTAAGGCGGCTCCTGGAGTTTGGAGGCTTTGGGATCGAGTTAAAGTGGTGTTGTGTTCGGAAGGAATCCCGGCGGGCTGGACTAAAGGAAAGACGAGGAACTCTGTTTTATACTTAAGGTGAACTAAAAAGGGAACTATTACTGCGCGTTCGAAGAAGACAATTTGTAAATATGTTGTAGACTAATTAGTTCAAAAATCGCTGTGCATTTTGTGTAAAAAAAAGTAATATCGAATTAGTCTTTAGAAATTAGAATAATTATCCGTTTTAATTGTTTAGTGAAACGAGTATATAGTGACGCTTGGTTAACCTTAAAATCGTGGAGTTTTGGGAGTATTGTTTTAATAAACGTGTAGAGCATTATTTTTTTATATACGTGTTTTCTTGAGTTTGTCTATGCTCGGTGTTACCGTTTGAGAGGACTCAAAAATATGTTGCATCTTGGCAACATACAATCCATCATTCTAAGAAACTACAATTTTACAGCTTATTTAAACATGATTATAAAATTTCAAGTTATCGAGACTTAATTAGAAATTCTGCTAATAGGAAAGATTTAGTGAAAATTCGTATAAGTAACCACAAACTCATGATTGAAACTGGAAGATATAATCAAACTTCCCGCAACGATAGATTCTGC